AAGACGCCATTGTTTTCGGTCTTCAATTCCTCAAAGGTCACGTGGTACAGTTCCCGTTCTATAAGTGTAGAATTCTGTGCATAGAACATGATTTTTTTAAAATGTTTTTAATAACCATAATTACTACATGATGTAAAACTTTCCTATTGTTGCCCCTCTTCACTTTCATCCTTTCTCCTGGCCCAGAGTTGTGAAAGTCCTAAAGAGGGAACATTAACCATGTTCTCATGCACAGTAGAATTAGTAGCTTTTGAGCATAAGGGGGCTATACGGAAAAATGCTGTTTTGAGAAAAAGTAGGGGGAAGGTTTTGCCCCTTGTACAGTTTCTATGAAAGACAAGGAGAGTTTTCTCTATTTTAACCAAACAAATAGATCTGCACAAATGAAACCAAACTTCTCCTGATTGGTAGGGCAATGCCCACTTTTAGTGTAGGTCCTGATTTCTGGAAACCCCCGAAACCCGGGTTAGCCCGCTTGTCCTCAAAATCAAAAGCGACCAATTGTAATTGTAAAAGGGCTGATTCATTAATGTCATGCTCATAGCTGTGCCTGAACTGCAACAGGGAACTGCTACTTTTTCTTTCCTAATCCTTACTATCGTCATTTTTTCTCTACTTCTCTTGTATGTTTGTCACACTCTTGTGACCCGCTATTTCCGGGGTGCCTTGATAGTCGAAGCAGACTTTTTTGTGCTGTTGAAGCTAGAGAGGTGAGCAGAATAAGCCTGATTCCCTATAAGGACTCTTCTGTTGACATCCACCCCCATGCAGTTGCGAGCGCCGTAAAACCTCTACTAAAACAAACAAACAGATGTGAAAGCTGTAAATATATTGTAATCTTTTATGAAACCACAATCCAGAAAAATAAAACCTGCTTCCTTATTGTGAGCTTGGTCTGCACCAAGGTACTATCCGTACGATCTGAATATAAATGCAAAAAGCAGTGGCCCAAAAAATCCATCACACTAGCTTGGGATTGTCTTGTCTGTGTAAAAAAAAGCATGAGGTGAACACAATATGACATATCTCTGAAATGTGAAACTGCTTCACTAACAATTTAAAAATCAAAGCAGCATTTAATAAAATCACATATTTATCATAGTATCAGTTTACCCATCAGAGTTCATTCGCAAAGCTTTCATTTAAAAAGTCAATACGAAAACTAAATAAATTTTCATTTTTGCAGTTCAGACTTAAGATACCATATATATACCATCCCTTGAACACTTATTATGCACTCTTCAAACACACACAAATGCATAAACACTCACTCATACCTGCA